ATCAGCGGGCGTGCTTTGCTCTAGTAAAAGCACCATCAGTTGTACATCACAAATAGTAGTCGAACATAAAAGCCAAAGCATATATACGATTAAATAGAATTTAGTGTGCGAGCAATACTGATACTGAGGATTCTCTTTTGTGTCATTCCATTCGGTCTAAGAATAGGAGTTTGTTGGACCACTTGTTTATCCACGAATCTCAATAATCTGACCACCTTGTTTCACCCAGTTCAATATAGCCTACATCCCATCCAATGCGCGTTCATAACCAAGTGACAGATACACCTGACTGGGCTACCCAGTGCCAGTGTTCACCACTTGCCATCAGTTTCACACGAATCGTACAAAGGGTGGTTACATTGTGCAGCAAATCGCTTTCGTGTACTTCCACGTGGTTACCATCTAAGGCCAGTCACATAGAAATAACCTGATTGCAATTGGAACTGGATGAATGAACCAACGGGAAGTTCATTGATGATAACTTAACTGGCCCCGTATCTTCCCAAACACCCTCCCCTCTCCAAGAAAAATACTGTGTTAATTCCCTCAACAGACAATACATGAACTGCTCATCTGTGCCCCGTATCCCGATTTCCACCCCAATGATCCACTGGTGATTTCGCCCCAAAAACATTCAGATTATCACTGTTCAGATAGGTGTATTCTACCGATCATCCATCTCTATTGAAAAAGATGAGAGGAGAGAACCTACGAGTATTGTGCCCAGAAGCGTCTAATCCAAGCTTTCTATCTCACTTGGCTTCACGTACCTGCCCGGCCCACAGACACAGACGTATTCCCGCAATGGTATCGATTCCTCAGAACTGGGTCACACGACCAAAGTGACATAACTGAAAATCCCGGAGGCACTGAACTGATAATGTGCCTCGTAATACACACACGTGGTGATTAACTCATCAGATTATGTTGTTATACTCCTGACCCCTAAGCTGTATCCTTTGATATAAAGTGTAACGGCATGATTATGAATTATTGAAAGCAGTTGTTTACCCGAATGCGTGTTCTAACTCGTGAGTGTTTGTTTGTCCATCTATTTATCTATCCACCTCGTTCGCGTCGAGACCCTCCTAAATATCAACCAGATTATTGGTATTTTGTCCTTCAATCTAAATGTAGATTAAATCGAAACATATTACTATGGAAGCCTCCTTTTCCAGTGATTCGTTCGTTGCGAGACCCTTATGTCTCTTTTATCGACCTGAGAGAAAAGGGGTTGCTGTAACCTGTCTATCGTTTTGTATCACGTTGACCAGTACAGGACAAGTGCATCGTACTTTATTACCTGTTGGTTCATGCGTGTACTGACAATCGGTTGGATCAATACACAGTTTTTTCACGTAATTCAGTTGCCAATAAATGACTAAATGTAGCAGCAAGATGATCAATTTATCTTGAAAGACGCATGGTGATACTAAAGACGTTGACTTTGCCGACACAAATGTTATATCTACCCTAATATATATATATACGTAAACGAAAACCTTTTCCAGAGAAAGTTACATTCTCTACGAGCAATGTTGGTTTCATTTCAACTATCAAAGTAACCTCCCGGAGTCGATAGGCACAACATGAGAACATTCTCGACACTGGCTGACAGTTAGCTGTTTAACCCAATTTCTGGAGGTTTGTTTTGGGGATGACAGTGGAATTATATTTTGAATTCGACCTTTATGTGGTAATCTCACCAGCTGTGTACAAACATTCAGATCACGGTTAGTTAGAAGAGTGACCGGCTTGGGAATTACACACGGGGAAGACAGACTAATCCACTGGGACCAGTGTAGGTTGATATCTTTACGGGAAACATAGAGAATACGGAATACGACAATGTGTAAAGAATAAGCAGTTCTTCTTGGATGGCACATGTCGTGTCGAGTGACAGTGTGCAAGCACAAGGAATGCTTGTAATACTCAATTATTCACATCCGAATATCAAATTCACGATTGTGCACGAATCTGAATCATACTTCCTTCACCCCCTGGATGTCAAATTGATGAAAAAAGAAGACAGATTTAACATCGAATGGGTATTTCACAAGCCAACTTAGACGGGACTGTATCTTAATTTTGGAAATCCCTGTTCAATACAATATAAACGATGGTTGGTGCACGGATGACCTACTCCAGTGAAGTATTAGAGTTCGAATTTTGCTGCACATGAAAGACGCACACTCAACGAATCCAATTCAGACAAACCCGACTCTTCATTGACCTCTTCCTGTGTGTACCTTCTTCAGTATACTTATGGTCGTAGGTACGTAAGGAGAACTATTTATCCCTTTGGTATGATCAATTCATTACCGAGATGGTGGTTTCTTTGCTATCACCACGACGAAGTACGATTACAATAAGTATTTACTATTTTCGAATTTAAAAAAAATCCCCAATAGTTGACCCATGCCGTGCCGAAAACGCACGAACTCGAGAATTCGAGTTCATATCGACGTAAGATTTCTACTCATAAAGGGGAGCAATATGCGTAGGGAAGGGGCTGTAGAGAAACAATAAATGCTTCAATAAATGGCTGGGCGCTACATAAGAAGCGAACAGCAGCTGAGAGTGAGAGATATTGGTTGGAAAACAATTTTTCGAGGAGTTGGTTTGAACGGCGGGCAGTGGGGATGGGACGGAGGGAGGGAGGGACAAGTTGTTGCTTGACTTGTGGAGCGCGGTGAGAACATGTACAAATCCACACAATTGATTGGGAGCTACGTGAAACGGCCCACTTTCATGCACATAAACCATGCATTCTCTGAAGGCATGGCTGTTCCAGTTGTTGCATTCAGTTGCATTGGAAACATGCCACGCTGAAATCATCTGGGTCGGGAGTAATGTTTGAATCACATGGATGGCTTCGGCGTGCCAACCCTGAATTGACCACCATTCACGGGCTGTATTGAAAATAATTACCACATGCTGACTGTTATTACTCATGAGTAGATAAATAAAAAGTACGAAAGTTAAATGCTTAGGAACATCATGTAGGCGACCATCGGCTTTCTGTGATTGACTTTTCAAGTATTGACAATCAAGCTTACATGAAGTAATTTCAGTAGGGTTAAACATAATACATGCATGTATGTATATAATACATATGATATATAAGGAATTCACCGAAAACATATCTACGCCTAAATTGTGTTATTAATCAATGGGGATATTTCATGAGTTATAAGTTTTTCAAATTTCACCATCTAGCAATCTGATCGTGAAATCGATTTACTACTTTTAAAGGCTTGAGTTCAACGATTAAGTACACATCAAACGTAAATCGAAAATCAAGTCAGCGAATTGAAAACTTCAGAGTTTCGAAAATGCGGCTAGGGTGACTAGCGAGGTGGAGAACAACCACAGTACAGTACGCCAGACGCTTCGCGGAATGAAAAAAATACGAACGCTCTGGGTATTAAAATCGCAGCTAGATACTTTGTAAAGCTTGCACCTTGCCATTCTCAAATTTTAGAATTTATGTGTTGTCATATGAGACCGTATACGGTATTAGACCCATTCTGCGGAATACACATTCCAACGTACGATGGTACGAAAATCCACATGAATGTGAACCAGTAAAAAGTAGCCAACGGTCGACCCACGCAGATAACCGGCAATATCGATTGATAAATGTATGTCCTTGGCACCCATATTTAGAAGCCTTCCTTACTTTTTTCAATCGTTGAATACCACTGCTTATAGAGTTTCATATGTCCGCATTTTATTACCAGATTAAGTGATGCAATAGCAGTTGCTTCTTGTTTGTCTTTGAATAGTGTTAGACTCCAGATGTTTCCATGCAGCACTCCATTTGGCACACATGATGTCTCGAAATGAAGTACAACCCTCACAGTATGATTGTGGTATTGCACCTAGTGAAGACCGAATACGATACTACTCACGCGTGTTCCACACCAATTTTGAGTTAATTTCAACTGGAAATCCATATTTTGGCTCGCTCTCTCAAAGCGAACGAACCTCTTTTCGTTTTACGCATCAGATTATGGATTTTCTCCCAAAAGAAAAAAACGAGGTACGAAGAAATATAACAACATTCATTCATATGTAATATTTCGAATTATCGTAATCTTATAGTAGTTTGATCATCTGTTCGACAAATTCCAAAGTTCAGACGGACTAGAAATGAGAAATTGCATTTCAATTATCCCCAAAATTTGTTCAGAATCTTGAACTGCTACTGTTTTTTCGCAATTAAATAGGTACCTCAACTTGTTTCTTTAGTTCTGTTTTCCTGGGTGTTTGTTGTTCGATGAATTTGAAGAGAATCACTATTAAAATTCTGATTTTGAATTACTAGCTAGCTCATAACGCACTTTAGTATCTGTCCGTATGGAATGAACTACAGAATAAAAGTGGTTATTTTTCTTTAATTGATCAACACAAGTGTAACTTTCAGACTGATTCGAATTCTGATTTGAAAGCGTTGAAGATTCGGTTAAAATTTTGCTTGTTTAAACAATACAGGTGACAAAATGATTCAAATAATTCCCGTCACATTTAAAACCTTACGTCATTATGTCTGACAAAATTATTTATTTCATAGAGAATTTTTCTCATGTACAGAGCAAATGAAGCGTTTGATTCCGACTTCAGTATACTGTGGTATAATCAATACTCGATACTTTTGCAAAGGGATTTTGTTTACTGTCTTTTGGTAACCTATTTTAAGGAACGAGTACAGGCATCAATTAGAATGCTGGGAGTAGTAACAACTTTATGAAACAGAGGATTCAGGGAGATTAAGATTGTGAAGAAATTAGTTAGATGCACGAGTGCTACTGTTTATCTATCACCAACGAAATTTCCATAGGTCAATCAGTTTGACCTTTGCGGTCCATTGCAGAGCCAAATGTGTGTTCACGATGGCGAGGTTCACAACCGTCATGTGCCTAATCATTTCATCTCAGGGGTTTATTTCTCCATAAGGAACAGTGACATTTGGCTATCAAAATACTTACCCGAGTTTCTCAACCAGGCCGAAGATTTGAAGCATTCGTCTTCTCACTTGTCCTGCTTGAGTCCACTTCAGAGCCTTTGGTTCGCTTCTCTCCAGTTTTGGTTGTTTCCACTGCTTTGCTACTCGCTGCTGGCCCCGTTGAACTCGCCGCGCACATAAGCAGTTGTTGTTGGGATTGAGGCAACTGGGCACTGAGCGGTGTATCCTCCGCACTATTCGTAGACTCCTCTGACAGTTTAGAGACTTCCTCATCATGAACAACACTGGGATACGCATAGTAGCTACTCATTCTGCCACCGCCGCTACCTCCACTACCGGGGCCACCACCACCCCCTGTGCCTGCACTGCCCGAACTGGAACCGCCAAAACCGGCGGCTATCATATGCGGATCGTGTTTTGAGCACGTGCCTGCTCCGCGGCTTGATCGACAATCGGCCCAGCAATAGCCCGATTCTGTCTGGATCATCAGGGGTACATTACCACTTTGTCCGTGATGTCGTTTGTAGAACGGTTGCAAAGAGAACCTGTGTATCGTAAAATAACACGTGGTAAACCATGTGGGACAGTTAATTTGCAAGTACATACATTGCAGAGAGTGCATGAAATTCGCATATTCTTCTATGGTAGACGTTGAAGTCAAACCATCCGACTACCAAGTCCCATTTAGAAATAAGTGAATATACCAGTATATATTTATATATATCTGTGTGTGTTTGATTCTTGCTTGGAAAAACTGAAAGGATTCCAAGCAAATATCTAGCTGGAGCAAAATACGCCGCCGAATTTCATCAGATTACGCTTCTTGTCCGACGCACTTAGGTCGGAGGTAAAAGAAGAAAACTGAAGAGAATACGGAAGGAAGGTCCAGGACCGTAATTGCAGAATACCAATGGTTTTCGTGAGCAAACCCCATGGTCGTGTTGATTCTACGCCTTCTTTGAACTTTTTTTCTTCTTGTATAAACTCCCGCTACTGCTCTTAGAGGATAAAGATGTAAAATGAGCGGATGGTCAAAAATCTACCAAAATTGAATTGAGTCATACATAATCCCAAATAGAACTACACGAATCCTCTCGTGCGTTTCAACAATGAAAACCCACTTTTGGCCTCTTTCAAAGCCTTCGTTTAACCTATGGGATTAATTATGACACTGCATTTTTGGAAAAGATTATTGATCAACGACATTCCGTTTACCTGTGTGTATCTGAATAAAACTCTTATTCCTTGAGATAAAAATGAAGAGAATTTACATACCCTTTCCGCCGTTCTCCGGTGCTTACACGAACAGGGACTGAGGCTGAAAAGATCCGTATGTGAGTTTTTCTGTGATTCTTTTTGTTATCTCGGTTACTGTATTGCTAAAAATGGACTGCATATCATAGGGCATAAAGACAAACTCATTTTAGTAGCTCGGATCTTGAGAGAGAGTTTCGTCCCTTCCTTGACATGCTCTCTCACCACCGTCTATGTTTCCTTAAAACTCGAACCATTTTATGCCTTACTACGTGAAGATAATACAAAAATCTAGGATCACTCACAGAAAAGGATTTGCCAAAGTTTTGACCCAAACAAATCCGTTTTGCTACAGTTTGTTGTCATACTGTGTCATCGCATGAAAGATAACGCAATAAAACTCGTAACATTTGCATCAAGAACATTACAACCTGCGGAACAGAATTACTACCAACTGGATATGAAGAGTGTGTCCGTCATTCTTATCATGAAACGTTAAAAATACACTTCGATTATCAACGCTGCTAGCCCTTTCAGGTGAAGTGAAAACAATTCGAACATTTCACTCTCTAACCCTCGAAGGACCTGTCTGCCAGTTTTTTTCTGATTCCTATCATCTTCTCACCCTACTGCTGTCCTATCGCCGTCGTTCCTCGCCTAGGATCGTCTCGGGCTTTGAGATTACTAGCCGATGGACATCATGTTCACTCCGCCGCGCTGTGGGATCCCGGAGTATGTTCGCATTATACATTCTCGTTCCAATTGGAATTCGGTCTTTACAGCTTCCGATGTCAAAGTTTCTTGTCTTAAGGACTTCGTGCTTTCCATGAACAAACTGCACACACGCAACTGACATGAAAACTGGGAATTAGGTGTCTATGAATCACAATGCATCAGCTCACTGAGTAAACCACTTTCATCGTGCCCCAAATGCCGAACTTTATTCACATAACATTCATTTCTGCCTTCCAGTATTCCAGTAATCTTCTGTTTGCCTTGGAATAAACATGTATATCAGTGAGAGGAAATTCTAGATCTGGAAATGGAACTTACCGTCGCTGTTTTCGACCTCCGCGGCGTTTGCTGATATGTGGATTGTCCTTCCGCATCGCTTTGGTCTTGTACAATTCGATTTGCGTGTATAGACGTTTGAGTTCACGCTGCAAATGTGAAAAATGTGGATCGACAGAATAAGCTCAGATCGTTGTCAGTGTATTTTCACTCACTTTCAATTGTACCTGTAGTACTTAGAGGATAAGTTTTAAAGGGGGTTTGGAGTAGCAAAAAAAAGTTGAACGAAGTCAAATCAACGCACTTGACGAAGCCTTTGTTTGAAACAGTCAACAGTTTTATGTAAACCAACCATCGGGCTAGAACGGGGGTAATGAATGCACTGTGATGTAGTCAATTTCGAGAGTACAAGCTTTAAAGCTGGAACTCGAGCAATCAAGCGTGAAAAGGGTGGGAAGTATCGACCAGTTGTGTTTGGCGCAGATGGTCACATGATGTAAAACGAATTCGATCAGTGATGAATAAGAGATAACAATTTTGGAAGATAGCTTTTATTGAAGAAGAATATTTTCCGAGGGTTAAATGTTTGGAGAGCAGACCTGAAAAAATTAGACAGGAACTGTAGGTCCGGTGGCATAGCCCACAAGGTAAACTGAATTTTGATGTGACGCAAAGTGAGACATTCCCAGGGTGCAATCTGAATGTTAACTGTCTTTGGACAGAAATCCAACAAGGTTTTTATCCCATTGTTCTCGATCAACAGGCAATTCCGTGTAGGTGCTGACCTTAGTGATAGCCATTAAGCCACTGACTCCTGACGGAGATGTCATATTCGGTTAACTGTTAACTCCATCCCCTGGAAATTCAATTGTGATTGAACAGAGAAAACTCATTAGAAATTCCGTCGTTGTATCCACAATCAAAAATGCGATCACGGAGGAATCGAGGAATAGAGAAAGACGGAGAGCAACACAGAGAATATTCTAAAAACGCTATCAAACGCTTTATGAGGTGTCGGGAAACGCATTGTGCTTGTTGATACAGGATGACCAATTGAATGTCAATCATTGGGAACATATCTGTATACGCCTTACAGGAATTTTACACTGCACTTGTGATTATAAAACGACATAAACAGGAACATACCAATTACCTGAGTAAGGACCTTCTGATACTCTGTGGGATTCAAACCTGTTCGCGGCTCACACACAGGAACCTGGTGTTTTTGCAAGAGATAGAGCAATCTATTACCGGTGCTTAATGCGTCTGGCCTGGGTGCCTCCAGGGCGCCAGATGAAAAGAACAACTTGCCTAGCTTGTGAAATAGCCGGAAGCTGTTCACACTTCCAACCTCGAATGTGTGCCGGTTTTACTTTCATGGTACTGACGGAACGCTTTTATCACTTAACTGACATCTTGCGAATGATGCCCGGAATGAGCACGGAATCCCCTGTCTGAGATTAAAATTTTGAGTAAACGATACCAAACAGCAGTTATATTATCGAGGTCTTCTATTTGTTGGAATGACACGGGGCTTGTTCGTCCAGAAGTATCTTATTTACAATTCAACAAGAATAGGATGGATGACTCGTTCTCGAGAGGAAAATACCAAAGTAATAAGAACTGAACTTTTCCAAGTGACTCCAGAGCTTTTTAGATTAATGTAGATCACAATACTTTGGACTTTCATATTCTCAACGGGAGGATTCATTCATGCAACCGTCGAATAGAAGATTGAGACACGTTCAAAAGTAGAGCCTGCGCACATATATACCCGTTGTGTCTAAAAATGGCAAATTCCCACAGTACTCATAGTTTCACAACTCGACGAGAAACATTCTACCTAATTGTTGTACTTTCCGTAATTTCATTAATTGGAGTTAATCAGAAAAACAGTAGAGAAAGACCACTACTGGGGACCACCCGAAAGTATTCAGAAACACCTCGATAAAATTGTTTGCCCAAACGAATCACTACGAGCGTAACTATCCGCGTCCTAACTGGCGCAGTCGGTACGTGAAACGAATAAACACGAAACGGGGCATTTGAGGTCATATCCCCGGTTGAGGCGGGAGGGGCTGGCTCAGAACCGATCAAAAACGGGATCAATCAGAGAATCATACCCACAAACAGGAAAACCGTGGGCAGGCAAGGCTTCATGGGGACCTCACACCTCTTTGCCAAAAGTGAAGTATTTTTAATTAGACAACCTGAGAGTCCCAATTGACTTACGGATGATTGGTTTAACCAGGAAAAAGGGTTTAAGAAAGCAGATGTATTAAGTAGCTTTTAATGGACTGAAAACTTCATCATCAATCAAACCACAGAACTGTCGCTTCAGCGCATGACATGTTACTCTACTCTATTCAAGCAATACATAAGCCTTATGTAAACGCACTCCAGCAAACCAACAAGCAGTCGCGTTGATGCCCTTAGGACCCTTGGATCCAAAATTGAGATGCTTTCGTCCAACAAGGCGCGCGGGAGGTTAAAAATGATACTGCTGCTGCTGCATAGAATAGCTTTCGCAAAAATCTACATTGTCATCTGTAATACTCGCGATTGAGGGAATTTAAGATTGCTGAAAACTTCTGAATTGAAATAGGACCTAAACACGCGCAATCCATTGAACAATCACATGATGGAATCGTCGAGTCGTCAGTTGGACTCAATTCTCATTGTTCTAGTCGCAGTCACTATCGTTGACCAATCAGAGTCCGCCGTTCTGCGCACCTTGATGGCAAGGCAGAGATGGCCTACTCTTTAAGGCCTCTAAAACATAATCACATATGCTTAGTTTAACTAGATTATAGGTCAACACGGTGCTTGTGTTTGTGTTTCAAACCCTGAGCTTCTGGTTCAGGGGTTAATAAAACCGATTTATAAAACTGCAACCGTCCGGGACTGGTGTCCGGTTTTCCTCAACGCTCAAATCAAAAATACACTCAAATCAATAATCTCATCATTCACTTTCACTTCTGTTCCTGCCACGTGACAAACCACAGATACAAACGCGCTCACTCAGTTTTCGGTCGAGACCTGTTCTGTGTCGTGATCTTTCCGACAGACACGACTTTTGCTATCGGGTCTTGTCCGGGATTTATCCCTCCGGTGGTCGTTCGGCTGCAATAGTATAGCCTGGTTCGTTGGGGTGTGGCCTTATACGCCATTAGTAAAGACTAAAAACCCCTAAATAAAAACCAAATACGATGGCCTAAGGTCGAAGGCTAAAAGGTTAAGACCACGGGAACATGGTAGAGTTCACAGAGCACACCTTGCCGTTTTGTGTATGTTCGTTTTCGTAATAGGCCACTGATACACAGCGTTGATAATTGTATGAAATGAAACGACTCGTCACAAAATGAAATAACACAATGGGGCACAATGTACGACATGAGCGCGTGCACACACACACACACACCAACGGACCAACCTCTTACCACCGCCCCCCCCCTCCATCCTTTGATGGGTGGTGAAATTGGTTGGGACTTACTCTGATCACTTCGGGGTCCATATCAGCCAAGTTCACGTCAGCGATGTCCAAATCACCGTTTAGGGCCAAATTCAATTTGCCTGTCGAGGCCAGATTCGGGTCAGCCGAGTACGGAGCGCCAGGAGTTGGACGTCCACGACCTGTTCCCGCGACTGAGTTGAGCGGTCGGTACAGATACCAAGCCTGTGTGTGTGTGTGTGTGTGTGTGTGTGTGTGGAATTGTTCGCAAAGCGAAAATAAAATAACGATAATCAGCGGATCGAATTTGAATAGTCTTTCAGCTAGTTTTAGATCGTCGATTCCAAATGAAAAATTATCAATGAGCACGGTTAACACTTAAAGCAGAGACCGTAAAACAGACAGACAGACAGACAGACAGGTGTAACGTGTGCATTGTGAGTCTCTGGATAATTACCAAATAGTTAGGATTACTGTAAACTCACCTTTGGACCAAAAATGAGTGCCAGGTTGACGGTAACGGTAATGTGGGAACGCAAAAAATACAACAGGAACACGTAGTCCGGATGAACAGAATACCAGATGAAGTGCCTGAAATGAAAAAGCAGAGGTTTGGTTTGTTGTATTTGAAACGCCTAACGTCATCGATTATTCACTCAGCAAAATAAGTACAACCTCACCATATTTAATACACAATTCATGTGTAATCAATTTTCCAGGATTCGGCTTATGGGCAGGACGAGAATATCCTCTAATCACATTACTAAATTGAAAGAGAGGAGAAAAAAGGACTACGATCTTGCAACACTTGCCCATCATTAAATCATTTTGTTCAATGAGTTACTTTTTACCAACTCATGAGAATGGAACGAAATGTGATACGCCAGCAATCAGGTGACTTCAGCACACATTTTATGCTCAAAATCGACTGGAGTGGATTGTTGCGACAATCGGTTTCCGTTACAAACAAGAAACGTCATACCTATATGGAAGCGTTGATCAAACTCGTGAAACAACACTCTCGTTTTGGAAATACACGCCAGATTCCAATATCGTACTTGTATATCGATGGCTATGGGTTAAACGTATTTCCTCCTGACTTTATCTCCTACTCGTATGTTCTTTGTTCTCTCCTATCAACGTTTGAATTTTTGCCACCTTGAATGCCGTGATAAAATCTGTGGTTTTTCGAAAGTTGGAGCTCAGATTTTGAAAATATTTTTTGTAAAGCAGCATGGAAATTCATTCTTCCTGATGGCACCTGACTAGGAAGGAAGTAAACCGTTCGACCAGTCAACGCCAAGGGTTTTTTTATAGAACCAACAACAGTTTAGTGTTCTTTTTGACTACTAAAGCAATCTGTTCGGTACTCTTTCTCGTAGACAATCAATCGTTATCGGTCCCGTGCGAAATATCACACGATCGAGACGATTCAGTGACTTTTTAGCCACCGTAAACAACAATACAAAATTATGGAATGGTCTATTTTTTTATAAGACATATTTCCTTTTGAAGAGCCGTTTCTTCTTTCGGCATTGCCCAGGTAAATGCATCCTCATTTTTACTGCAGTATACCGGGAACGCTTACAGACGGGGTTATGAAATTTAGTGTACTAATTGTACCAATTTTTAGTCACTATACTCTACTTGTATGCGGGTTTGAACCTTGATTTCACTAAATCGGTATTATCTCAAATTACATATTCCGAGTAGCAGAAATGCATTTTAAACACAGCGCCCCTCCCCCCCCCCCCCCCNCACACACACAAGCAAGCCCCTCTACTGAAGGACCCAAACGCTAATCTGGCAATCAAATAAAATGGCTTTCATTGCCCAGAATCAGAAAACCTTATTCAGATCTATTCACAATAATATTCTTCTGAATTTCGAATCTCTGCATTCAGTGGCGTTTTATTACTTAAATAAAATTCAAGATTCTTCCATTTGCACGGACTCGTTTGGCCGGAACAACCCAAACAGTTTCGGTGGGTTTCAAAACAGAGCTGCGGTTGAGCCAAACAATGAATGTTATAAATGTCACATTTTACTGACGTCACCAGTAGATATGGTGGCGTTGTCCAGTCCGAAGAGCGGTGAATCAACGGAACGTCTGGAGTGAAGGAATTTGTTCAAAGCTTTCATGCACGAATGGGTTGTTTCCTTTCCTTTGGTTTGTTATTTATTGTCCATAGGAACAGAATCTGAAAAAAAAACTATCACTGGGCCATCCCGGGAGGGTCGGGGTTTGAGCATCATCCGAGACGCAAATCAGTCCATCGGGTCAGTGAACATTTCATCACCCTTCGCGCAATCCAGCACTCCATTTGAGGTGATTATTCCCTCGATGGACTCGATCTGACGTTTGCTCATCCTGGGTGCTAGTCTTACCTTTCCACATCTCAGATGCACGACAATTGGTTGCAGTTACCGCCGTGCACGGCAATCACCATAAGGTTCCATCGCACATATTTCGACAAATTTGGAGAACCGGTTATTTAGTTAGGTGCGCTAAGCAGATGTCTCTTGACCCTTTAAAAAAGCTTTCTGACAATTTAACATTTCCTCCTAGAAGTACAACAGCGAGGATCTTTTAAAATGTTATGTACAACTTTGCGCGATCAGTGAATTCTTCCGGTAATTATATTTACATCTCGAGTCCCCGCCAATAGGGAAGTAGTTGACCTTGTTTCAACTCCGATAGTCTTCGACCGTGCGGCATTTTCCGGTTTTCTAAACTCTGCTTCTGCCTATCAATGAATGGTGTGCCCGAGAAGTTTATTTCAATTTTGCGATCTCTTGATACTAGTAGTCTAAGCCCAGTCCGCGTTTACGGCACTATTTTACCCGAGTTCAACACAGAAGGCGGTGTTCATCACAGTTGCGCGCTCTCTTGCCTTTTCTATTTAAATTTATTATGGATTTGGTCAAGGAAACGGCCTTTTGTCAAGCGAGTATAGTACTCACGAGTTGCTTCTGAGTGGCAGACTGTTTGATCTGGAGTATGCGGACGATATTGTACTACTAAGTGAAGATCCCGGGATTTTTCAAGCTTTTCTTGATAATTTGGGTGCTTGTGCTGCTAAATTCGACATAGATTTTTCATCTTTAAAGTGCAAATTTTCGCTATAGGATTGGGTTAGTCCAACTCTCAACCTCACTTTAACCGGGGAAGTAACAGAACAAGTGGACACGTTTTGCTATTGGGGCAACTGTATTACCCTCGGTGGATGCATCACAGATGAAGTGTCAGCTCGCATACTGAATGCTCGATTGGCATTTGCCAACTTGAGACATCTGGAGCACCGCCGCGAAATCCCGCTGTCCGTGAAGGATTGAGTGTATGCTGCAGCAGTTCGGCCCATTCTGCAACACGGAGCAGACACCTGGTCATTAGGAAAAAGGGATAAAGATACATTGTCGGTGTTCAAACACCGCTGTCTTGCAGCATTGCAGGAATTTGGTGGGGCAACCGGACGAGTAATGACGAGGTAGGGCGCAGTTTTAGATAAACGCGGTCGCCCACAAACTGCGTTGGTTGGGGCAGGCATTACAAGTGTTGCTCAATTGGTTGTCACCGTGTGCGATGTTTACTGTGGCAGTTAGTGAGTCAAAAAATACCAGGGGTGGTCAATCTAAGACATAGCACGAGGGTATGAAACCCTGACTATGAGACTCGGTTATATAGATCGGGTAAGGCTCCTCGGGATGATCTCAACTAATGGGTAGAGACACTGAGCGACATGACTGAGTGTCTTAAACATTGACTTTCGTGCATCTTGTCAATTTATCTGTAACATTAGTCCACTGAAATTCTCCTTTTTTTAATCAACTCTACTTTCTACTTTCCTATGTTGTTCCTACTCCTTCATCTAAATGGGTAGCCAAGGGACAGCAACCAAAGCCGGTGCATGAAAGTGTATGGTTAATTATTGAATGAACTGAAACTGAATTTTCCTGTTTTCGTTTTCAAATACTCCAAACACTTCATGTGTTTCGATGCGATACGTAAGGTTGGATCACGAACTAATTATGATGTGAAATTAGCTCAATGATTGTATCATAAAGCATTGCTCCAACCAATAGCTCCATGCGGGACTTATTCAGCCCAATTATTGGGCTTTGGTGAGGTGATTTTCTTGTTCTTCTACAATGAAATTCTGTTTTGTTTCGTCAAAATTGAACTCTTTACACGAATGCATTAGACCGATGAGATAATACACAGTCACATCATCATCATCATCATCACCCTAAGTGAACGCATTTCGCGAGAAATTGTGGAAAATGATAGTGCGCTAGAAGTATCTTGTGCGCTATAGAGAGCAAAATCATTGTTTTCTCCGGAGCGGTCTTTTGAAGATTGTTTATAGAAACATCACAAACGTAACGCATTGCAAGAACCAACAGTAGATGTCGTTTCGTTCGATGGATACAATCCTTTCAATAGGGTGACTGACTGGCCAAATGTGTCACTATAGAAGGTGATACATTTTATTTATCTTTCCACCAGTGAAAGATCACTTTTGCATGTAAAACACTAAAATGTATAAATATATCTAGCAACCACTTTCAGTTGCCTATCTCGAAACTCCAATCAAAACCAAGAATGAGCCTCGTGGCATCCACCTGTCATCGTCTGGCTTGGGCTAACCAAATGATGAAATGATACATAAGTGATTATTGTTAGAAAATTGTGGGAACGGGCTGCATTCTTTCAGGTCACATTCCTTAATCCTGATGCAGGAACAGTACTCAGAACTATTTGTATTTGTATTTGTATAGACTTTTGCGAGAATAGAATGTTCGCATTTCAGTCAAAAATTTACACTATCCATTTCATTTGTGAAAACAGATGAACCTTCCCGGTCTCGTTGTTTATCCTGTGGGTTGGCCCCAACTTTAGTTAATCGGGTCAGTAAACTACAGTCAGTGAGCATCTAGACCGCAAACATGCTAGGGCAGTGCTGTTTAAACAAGCGCCGTGTTTAACCAATTCGCTAAGTCAAGAGACTAGGTCGTCTGTTCAAGTGGCCCAATCATAAACGCCTTTTTAATCGATCGATTGACGGACCGTGCGTGTCAGTCACTGATCGATGCGACCGAAGTAGCTACGGCTGTTCTTGAGTACACCCCGGGAGGAAAAAACCACGGACTGATTGGAATTAGAGAACCGATAAAACCAACAAACTGTCAGCTTCCAAATCACAGTGCTCTACAGAAGTGTAAGTAGTCAAACAAAAACTC